GTTTATGTATATATATTTTTTTCTTTGTATTTTGTTTCCTATCAATAAAAGCAATTATTATTATTATTATTTTTTCACCGTAGTGTGCGCTGGTCAGGTACTATCCCTCGAAGCCCCGATACATTCCGAAGGGCGCGCCAGCATTATCAATCAATGACCACTTCCCATTGGGTACGAGAATCATGTGCCCTGAGCAAGCGCAGTGAGCCAATAATGACAGCCTTCTGCATCTTTGCGGCTAAGATTTCTGCCTCAGTGCGGCAAGCCGGTATGATTTCAAGATTCGAGAGTAGAGGGAGCATCATTCCACCAAGGACTCCAATAATCAGAACAAACATCTTGACAGAGTGATCTGGATGGAATCTGCGGAGTTCGAACAGAACATCTCGATAATTTATCCGTTTTTCCTTCTCTTTTCTGACGATAATTGTCTCACCAGAGACAAATCAGTTCAACTTGATCTGTTATTTATACATTAACCAGTTTTTTGCTCACGTTTTTTTTGTTATTTTTTTGTGAAGGTTCTCCATACTTGTTTGTTTTTGAAGAGTTTGGAAATACAAGGGGCGAGTAATAACTTCAGTTACTTATCACAAACTTAAACATTACGCCGACGCAAAATTACACTTTTTGCATCAAATTTTAAAAAATCACATCACTTTTTAGTATACCTCAATCAAACTTCAATAATATTGTTGATAGACAATTCATATGCATAAGAGAAACATATAGATCAGAAGAGAACTCCCAGATGGGACTTGGAAGTTGCATTATTGTCCAAACTATTTGGGTGTGTTCTAACAAGTGTAAGTGAAACTATTGAATGACTTTAATTTTTAATTGGATGAAGAACAAATGTACATCTCGCATATTTTCAATGACATTTCAAAAATTGATTATTTTGTTTCCCATGCAGTTATATTTGACGGTTAGTTTCTTCTGGATATAGACTGCTGCCTGGCATGGATAAGTCTGTACTTTTCCCAAAAATTTTATAATACGTTGCAGTTCATCACTCTCTCGATCAATGACAGAAATATCCCTCATTTCACTTTCAGAAATTCCTAATGGTAAAGACTCGAAGGTGGGCCAATTCTCTTTACATGCTCTACACTGGCAATCAAAGAAAAATATATCTCTCAAATAATGTTGCCTTTCAGTAACTTTGGTAGAAGAGAATGGACAAAATCTAAAATTCACACAAAACATTTTTAACTGATAATATTTACATAACTGTCAGTTGAAGAATACTTATTTTCATGACTCACCCATAATAGCTGATATTACACTCCTCCCCTTTTCTTATATTTGACATTGCCCTCACGACTAAATAGCGTCCATGAAAGAAAAAACTGCAGTTAGGGGCACAGGAATGATTGAAAAAACTGGAAAATGAAAAAATGCCTAGTGCTACTTTCTGGGAAGTATCTCCACATTCAGAATATTTTTTTATGTTGAATGAATTTATGGAATCGATCATTATACACTTGTAAATGAGGTCCTTCAAATCGTTATCTGCAATATTTGCGTCTTTGGAAATATTCGTATTGGTCATAATGTCATGGTAACCAATACAAGACATGATTATAGGATAAAAAAAGTTGACGCATTCCCTTTTGTCTTCGTTTGTTACTAATTCATTTATTTCTTTAAATCTATCCGACTGATATTTTTCGTCATCTTTACTTTCTTCTTTGAGTTGGTTTACTGCAATTATAACCATTTTGACAAAATTCAGGGTAAGTTGCCCATACAAGGGAATCATATCGCACTCATATCGATGATGAGTTTTCCACGATTCTTCTCTGCAAAATTCACTACAGAATAGAGCTTTGGTGCATTTTGGACAGGGCATAAGATTGTAGCAAATGCCTAAACATTCATGACAATGCAAATATTGGCTCTCTGGGAATGTCGTATGTGCAAAAGACTTCTCTACGATTAGAATTTCTCCTACATTTATGTCTTTGGCTGCAACAAAATATCGTCCCACCAACTCGTCTTTCTTTATTTCTATGAAGTCAGTAGCTGAGGAACATAGCGAATTTTCATTAGACAGTTGTGGTATAGGTTTAGAAAAGTAGGTATTATGCGATTTGTACTTAGTTGCTTCCTTTTGAAGATTGATTAAAGACTCTTGTGACCTAGTTGAACAATCTACTTGGAGAGCTCTTTCGGTATCCTGAAACGAAATAAATATTTGGGATAGAAAGGTTTTGGACAAAAGTCCGGAACATCGATGTCCGCCAGTGAGAGTGACAGTGTTCCACGAAAGTGAAATGTTATACAGTGTCCCCCCCTCCTTTTATTTTGTTAACGGGTCAACTCAAAAAATTGAAATGGGATAATGAAATTAATGCATGAATACTTTATTTTGAAGTGAAATTGACAGATGAAACTGGAATGAAATGGAGGGGGGTCTTGTGATACATCTTCATAAAGCTCCTGACAAATGCTTCACAACCTTAAAATATAATCTCAATATTTCCTACTACTACAAAATGGTGGAACTTTTAATAATTGCCTGAATACATTGACATTTAACTTACATAATATGAGGTAATAAGCTTGAGGTCAGTTCAAAAGATGCTCGAGATGGTTGCCTTGAACTTGACATATGAACAGCCTATCCGATATTTCACGCGGAACATTTTCAAACACAGTAACATCAATATCTCTACAAATATTTATTATTCTCTGCCGTATATCCAATATTGAAGCAGGTTCAGTTTCGTACACCTTTTGGCTCAAATAGCCTCATAAAAAAAGTCCGAAAGTGTCAAATCTGGCGAGCGGGCTGGCCATTCTGTAGGACCTCGACGGCCAATCCAACGACCGGGAAAAGTAGTATCCAAATAGTTTTTTACTTGTCTGGAGTAATGTGGTGGTGCTCCATCTTGTTGGAATACAATATCCATATCGAATTCATTAGGATTCAATTCGACGATTATCAGTAATGAGAGGGTCAACAATAGTTTCCAAAATATTCAAATACAGTTCCCCTGTTAATGTCTGATCAATAAACAGAGGTCTTACAATATGGTTTTCCAATATTTCTGCCCAAACGTTAATTTTTTCTGGATATTGGGTATGTGTTTCCCGAAAACGCAAGGGTTGGTGTTGGGGTGGGTTTTGTCGTTTTTATAAACAAAAAATAACTTAACCAACCTTATCGGGTTGTTGGAATTGCCATATGGCAGGTAAAAAGGAATATTTATAGAAATATCGATATCAATGTGTTTGTCTCCAGTAAATTATCAAATGTTCCGCCATTTTGTAGTAGGTGAAGATATTGACTTAATTTTCTAGGGATGGATGGCGTCCAGTCGCCATCTTGAAAATTAATCCATCTGTCAATTTCACTTCGAAATGAAGTTTGTATGCATTAATTTCACTATCCCAAATTTCAATATTTTGAGTTGACCCGTTCAAAAAATAAAAAGGGAGGGTATTAAAGAAATGCACGGTATATTTTGTAGCATTCCTGTGAATGATATCTGATTCAATTCCATAATGAATGTTTGGAAAACAAACTGAATAGAAAAAATGGAATATCATTCAATAATAATAATATTTGAGTGAAATAGGATATGATATGCATATGATATCATATGGATATGATGCATATGATATGAAGTGAAAAAAAAACATTATTGCTTTATATAATATGATATGAAGAGATGGAAAAAATTTCGGTTTAGTGTAATACTAACCAAGTAGAATGACCTATTTCCTGAGAATAGTACAGCGAACGTGTCACGCGAGGCAGCACTAGTAGTAGGGACAAACATAAACTATTCACATGTAAAACAGTGTTATTTACGTAATATTAATTTATTATTTAAAAATATAAATCTGATATAAGAAATTATGTTGTGCTAGTATAATGCCAATAAAGCATTTGCGAATTTTACGTCGGATAATCGATATCCGGAAGAAAACGTGTTTTTTATACCATTATAAAACCTCATATTAATAAGGTTAGGTGTTAGAAATGAATACATGCTTCGAGAAGATTGGATTTAACAGTGCAAATAATAAATAAATATCAAACATGAAATGAATAGTAAAATTTTCATAGTTAATTACCATTAATTAGAATGAGATATAACCTTAATCGTTTATTAAATTATATTCATTTATTATATTCAATTAAATTTATTTCATTACCATCTATATTTGATTCATATTTCACTCGGAAATAAATCTGAAATTCATAATTATTTTGAATTTCTTTTATTACAGTTTGAATCTACCGCTACTCTTTTACTAGAGTCTGTATACTAACCTGTCTATTAATTCACTTTTTTTTCCATTTTAAATTACGCCATGCAAGCCAACGTTTCAATAATACATTGTTATCCTTTAAAGTTGTAAATTTTAGTTTTGCTCCAGGAAAATATTCTTGTGTTAAAAACATTCTTTTTTAATTGTACTTTACCATATTTTTATATGAGGATTAGGCAGTGTTTGCCCTACCGAACTACTAGCGCTGCTAGTAAGTGATTTTTCTTACTTCTGGAAAAAGGTTCATTCAGTGCTGAAGCATCAGTTTTCTCGCTGATGTTAAGGGAAATGAAGACATTTTCCAGACATAGGAACTGAATAGGAATAACTGGGTAAAAGCTATATTCCAGATTTTTTGGCTGTGGTCTGCAGGTTTTCATACCTGATATTTCGTCTACTACTGCGGTAGACATTATCAAAGCTGAAGAAGCAACGGTCGTGCTCAACTAGTTCCCAACGCAGAAATTACAATTTTGTCATTTGTCTACGGTTTTATTCATGGGTGGGTGTAGCAAGGTTCATTGTTCATTGCCTCTTCCTTTCTATTGAAATTATCCCTGTGTTTCTGAATTTCTATTGCCTCCTTATATATTCTTGGATATTGATTTGGAGTTTCATCGAGTATTTCTTTATCTTCGAATGAGATAATGTGAGTGCCTTCTTCGAGAGCATATTTGGCTACAGCTGATTTTTCGGTTTGTCCGAGGCGACAATTCATTTTGTGTTCATTGAGACGGGTACCTATATTTTTTATCGTGGTTCCATTGTAGACCGGCCTGCAGCTACAAGGAATCCGGCTCTCTGGAATCCTTAGCTTACCTTAGACTTTCTCTGATAGTTTTCGTTGGCCTAAATATTGGTTTCACTTCGTGTTTCTCTAAAATTGTTCCAATCCAGTCTGTAACATTTTTAACGTCTGGGGTAACTTTGACGTTCGTTCTCTCTCCTGGGTTGTACAGTCCGCTCGAATTCTACTTCGACATACCCATTTCCTTTTAAAAGGCATGTTTTAGTTCATTGAGATCCCCAGGAAGACCCTTAGGTTCACAGATGCGCCATTCCCTCTTAGCCAACGTTTGTTATGGCTGGTGGTTAGAGTTTCTATTCAGGTACCGATCTGTGTTGGTTTCCTGTACACTCTATGGCCCAATGTATGTACCATCTTCATCGCTGTTCACAAAAACATCGAAGAAGGCTATAGTCCCTTGGGTTTCTCATTCCATTGTGAATTAGATTTTTGGGTTGAGATAGTTGAGATATGATAGAAAATCGCCGCCGGACTTGATGGAGTGCCCAATGTGGTACCATCTGTTTGTTCTTAAAAAATACTATCCCACTGGAAATAAGTTGACAATGATCAAGAAGTCCTTTTCTATGTTAAAAATGTTACACCAGGATTGGGCCAACGAAAACTGTCATAACAGATTCCTTGTAGCTGCGGGTCGGTCTACATTGAAACCACGAAAAAAATATAAGTACCCGTCTCTTTGAACACAAAAGAAATTGTCGCCTCGGACAAACCGACAAATAAGCTGTATTGAATCAACACTTCATTTTAAGATTTTCACTACACAGTTCTACAAAAACGCAACACGTGTTTCGCTACACAATATCTTCTTTGGACGTGTTTATATTCATGTATAGTATACTATAGAAGAGTATCCACAGTAAATACTCATAGTGTATATAATACTCTGTAGTATAGACACGCCCGAAAAAGCTACTGTATAGCGAAACACGTATTGCGTTTTTTTAAAAGTATGTAATGAAAATCTCTCGATAAAATGTTTCTTGAATACTACATGGATTTTGATCAAGTATCGGCCAATTCCATCACATAAATCTGCTGTAGACGAACATGTCTTATTCGAAGATACAGAAATACTCGATGAAACTCAAAATTACTATACACTTCGACCGTTACCTCATCACGTTTGATAATGTCTACCACAGTAGTAGACAAAATGTCAGGCATGTAAACCTGCAAACCACGGCCAGAAAATCCAGAAAGTAACTTCGACACAGATATTTCCGGCCGTGATAGTTTATGAAATTACTATGGATCTTCATCAACTAACATTCTTTGATAAAAAATACCTATTGCAAAAACTCGCTAGGAAATCGTTCTTTCAAATGATAAACTAAGTTATTTCAGTGGTGAATGTTGAAGTATCTATATTAAAAAAAAGGTTTTTCTGTTAAGAGATTCCACGCCCATATACAGGAATATATTCAATCCGATTCGATGCTGGTTGGATAGAAGAGCAATATCTGCCTTGATTTATTATGTGCATATGTTGAATTCTGGCATTTGTTAGGTTGTACTGAATAACAATCAATCAATATCAATAAAATGATTGATTATTATTTCATTTACTTTAGTATGCGCTGGTCAGGCCCTATCCCCCGAAGCCCCGATACATTCGGGAGGGCGTGCCAGTACCACTCTCCACATCGTGGGGTATATCCGATAATCATGTGCCCTGAGCAAGCGAAGTGAGCCAAGGATGACTGCCTTCTGCATCTGTCCGGCTAAGATTTCTGCCTTAGTGCGACAAGGCGGTATAATTTTAAGATTCGAGAGTAGAGAGGGCATAATTCCACTAAAGACTCCAATAATCAGAACAACCATCTTGACAGAGTGATCTGGATAGAGTCTGCGGAGTTTGAAGAGAAAATCTCGATATTTTATCCATTTTTGCTTATTTTTTTGGACGATATTCGTCTCGCCAGGAGCTGACAACTCCATGATATATATCGCCTTGCTCTTGTGGTCGAGAAGGACTACTTCAGGCTTATTAGTTTGTATCAGCCTAAGGGTGGGGAACGAATAGTTCCAATAAACTCGATTCAATATCCCCGGTGTATCGTCAATACCTTGAGAGTGCCGTAGATGATAATATAGCATTCTTAGCTCTTCGTTATGTCGATGAATATAGGGCGAGACCGAATACGCTGGACATGCTGATAGCAAGTGCATTATGGTCTTGGACACCCTGTTGTAGACCCTGCACCTTGTGTCAAGAACCTCTAGACCTATCACGCAATTGAGGTAGACTCAAGTGTTGAAGGCACCATCCTGGCATGCCATGATGAATCCCTCAGTTTCCGACTTCAGCGCACTTGACCTGAGGAAAGCGAAAGTCAGGAGCTTTAATAAGCCAAGGTCTTCAATGTTATTGAAGAAGACCTCATGAATTGGTTTATCCTTGTGTAGCCGCAGATGTGAGGTGATCTCTGCGGATTTTATATGAGCCTTTTACTGAACAGGTTCCAACTCGATGACACAGTTGTGATCACCTCGTTTGGTGTCGAAAACTAAACCGAATTCATCAGCTACTCGGTCAGCTGCCCTTAAGAGAAATGCTCCAATTCCTGCTCTCTCATGGTCGCGGACCATGCAAAGAAAAGGATCCGAACTCCTGACGACTTTACAGGCTACATCCAGTACCATTATGTCATGTAGTAGGGGGAAGTACAACAGTGGAACGGACGATTTGGAATGCAATCTTCTATAGAGATGCATCATTTTTCAGGTCTTTACGTCGAGTTGATACAGCTACTCCCGAGTCCACTACACTACTCTAAACGAGTAGAGTAAGATTGGAACGGCAAGCATATTTGTTGCAGCAACTTTGTTCTTCCCGACAGTTCCGATGACCAGATCTGTCGCGAAGGGAGTTTTTCACTCCTGTTATCTCTTGTGAATGGCGTTGTTCCACCCCGAGGTAGGTACCTATACGTCTCTCCGGCATCCAAATGGTGTAGGATGTTTCCATCTACGACTGAGGGTATTGCCCTAAAATACACTCCTTCTGAAAGTGACCCACACTGTTTGGTCGCCAGAGTGGTATCATTTGTTCATGGCATCTGACAATTTTGTCGGGTACCCAAGGCATCTGAGTAAATGCCCGATGAGCTCATGCGATGTTGTGTCAAATGCCTTGCGGTAATCGATTCAGGCCATAGAGAGGTCATGCTTATATTGTATCGACTCCTGCGTTACACACTCGGTCAACTGCGGTGAGTATTCGTGTGTATAAATGCTTGTAAACAACTTATAACACGAATTTAAGCTTATCGGTCTGCTATTCTTAGGAATCGACAAATCTCCGCATTTGGGGATGAGAACGGTCCTCCCCTCGACAAACCAATCCGGAATCGACTGCTCTCCGTCCAGCCATGAGTCGAAAACTCTGACCAAAGGCCAAGGGTGTTAGTGGTCATCTCTGCTTATTTATTATTATTATTATTATTGAATATAGGTACTTTCTTTGCGATGAACAGATATGTGAATATAACAAAAAATAAATAAAAATATGTAACTGAAGAATATTTTCACTGAATTTTTCTTACCTGTTTACATTCAAAGTAATATTTTTTTCGAAAAAGTAGAACTGCTCTATCTTGGTATGCTAAAACCAAACTTTCGCTAGAATTTTCAGCATTCAAAATACTCTTTGTGAAGCACTCTAAAGCCATCGCATAATTTCCCTCTGAAAAAAAGTCGTTTCCTTTTTTCCGTAAAATGTTTGAAATTGTGTTGGATTTCACAATTCTCGAATTCATGAAAATATTTTGAAAACTTGGTGTCATTTTAAGCAGTTCATACACATAATTTACTTTTTCGTGGCCATATTTTAGGTTTCTCAAATACTCAAAATGTGTTTTTGTGTTAAGTTCACATTCTTCGAGCAATTTTGTTGTTAACTCTGTTATCTTGGGACAATAAGACATGTTTCTTCCAAATCAGCCACACAGTTTTCATAAAAAAAGTAGAATGGTTGGAATGAACTCGTACACACACTGCCACACATATCCAACTAATTAAAAACACTCAGAATTCAGCATTATCTCTGTTTGACTTGTCTATTTAGATTGCTCTCGAAAATAACACTCGATGTTCTCAGATCCGTAACTTGGTTACAAATGATTATTAAAACACATTTTCAACTTATCATACATATTTATGAATGTTGCTCAAGTTAATGACCTCGAAGCTGCAAAAAGTTGCATGGTTTTTATTTTTAATATAATAATTACCACGTATAATTTTAGGTCTACATATCAGTTGAGTAATAATGAACGCAATATCTTTTGTGTTTGTTTAAAGGTGGTTGACAATGTTTCGTAGTGCATTTCATTAATTCGGACTTCCATTGTCTAATATGATATAAATTGATTTGAAATCCCTGAAAAAATCTGTAAAAAAATATTAGCAGAAAAATAACAATAATATTAAGCAAAAAAAAAAAGAATTTACAATGAAATAAAATACAAGCAACAATCAAAAATTGAACTGCAAGAAATTAAAATTAAAAATTAGCAGATCCAAGCCAAGTTACTTCACGACGTTTCGATTGTTAGTATCCACAATCGTATTCGGGTGATGACTGGACTTATTCCTCCGAGATCTAACTATTTATAAGTCAATCGAGTGCTTTCACCTATCCCCTCTTCCCTCTCTCCGCTTCATCTGTTTTAGCGGGAATTGGTCGTGTTCCGCTTGACTATAGGTTTCTATATACTTGTGATGCACTCTTTGGAACCTTTGGTGTAGTAATGAATATTACCGGAGTTTTTTCCCAACACCAAAACCGTTATTTTAACACCTCAACACGTGTTTCGATCACCAAGTGATCATCTTCAAGAGGAAAATCAAACTAAACTGTTTAGTTTCTATATTTTGGGTATCTCTACGCTAACTTGGCTAAATGCTTTGTTGGAAAACATACAGTGCATTTCTTTAATGTCCCTCCTTTCATTTTTTGAACTGGTCAACGCAGAAAATTGAATTTTGGGATAATGAAATTAATGCATGAATACTTTATTTTCAAGTGAAATTGACAGATGAAACTTTCAAGATGGCGAGTGGGCGCCATCTGGCGAAACTTCAAGATGGCGCCTAGTCGCCAAATTGAAGATTCATCTGTCAATTTCACTTCAAAATAAAGTATTCATACATTAATTTTATTATCCCAAATTTCACTTTTTTCAGTTGCCCCGTTCAAAAAATTAAAGGGGGGACATTAAAGAAATGCTCTGTATATGCGGCTGTTGGACAACATATATGCGGCTTCTTTGAATTTTCTCCTAAACCAGTGTTCCTTCTTGTGGATGATTTCAGCTTGAGACCACTTGATATTATGTTGATGAGTCCAAGCATGCTCTGCTATTCCTGGTATGCTGGTTTTCTTCTCACTGTGTGTGTTTTTGTACTCGGCAATGCGAACTCTCAAAGGCCAATTAGTTTCACCATGTATGATTCTCCGCACTCGCAGGGTATCCGCTAAATGCAATTATTGGAATCTCAGTCAGCGTTTGGTGGGCTAGTTTTCGTGAGGCTGCTACGGATAGTGTTCACAGATCTGAAGCAGGTTTTGATGTTATATTTGGATCCAATTCTTCTTATCCTTTCTGACAATCCTTTGATGTATGGAAATACAAGTACTGGTTGTGATGGTTGCTCTTCCTTGTGAGGCTCTTGTTGTCTTCTATCCAAAGTCTGTTCCACCATCACTTTGGGGTAACCATTCCATTGAAGGTCATTTTTTATGATGCCTAGTTCTTTTTCGAGACATTTCTTCGTATTACAGAACCCGAAAGCACGTTCTACTAGAGTCTTGGCGATTCCTCTCTTGTTCGATTAATGGTGGTTGGATTCCTGGTTCAGATACTGTCCTGTGTGAATGGGTTTTTGGTATACAGATGTTTCCCATTTGGTATCGGCCCTTTTCACCAATACGTCTAAGGTCTAAGAATAGCAATTCGTTGTGGACTTCCTTCTCTATTGTGAAAGTGATGGAAGGACTTACGTTGTTGATGTGCTTCAGGAAGGTGTCTAGTTCTGTATTCCCATGGTTCCATATTATGAAGGTGTCGTCAACGTATCTCAACCAGACTCGGGGCTTCTTCAATGGTCAGAGTTTTAAACCACTCCTTATAATTGTTGGCTAAAACCGGCTTGCGTAAAAAAATCGTCCTTCAATTGAAAGTAGCAGTTGCGTAAACAGCATCCTAGTAATTTCATGATTACTATCTTTCAGGAAGGTATACGAAGATGAGGATCACCATCAATCGACTAAGAGAGGTTGATTATGGTTGTTAAAAACTCCTATTTCAATTCTAAAATTCGACTTAACATGATAAAGAACCCCGCACCATTCTTATGGAAAACGGGCCCCGGTGAAATTCAATGAATTTTTGATATGATATAGTTCAAGTCAAGCTGATCAAAAGTATTCAAGGGGCCAATACATTCCTATGGCTAGTTTTCGAGATACAGGGTGTCAAAGTCGGTAAATGGCCATTTCTTTGGAGTAATATGGCTTTCAGGAAAACATCCTAAATAAAAATGTTTTGCGCGACGAATATTTCTTGCACATAAAGCAATACTTTTAGACTGGTTTTTGATAAAAAAATATTGTTTTAGCATTATTCAAAATGAAATTCTCAATCAACCCTTTGAAGTGAAGATGTGACCAAACCAAGTAACACACTGATATACTTATAGTTTAAATATGTCAAAATTGATTAATTCAACTTTTCAACAGGGTGAGTCAAGAGGTAACAATTTTTCTGGTGATATTTTGTATATTTTTTTAATACTTCGAGCTTTAGGAAAACTTGATCGCGAACCATTCAATAAACTCTTTGAACTAAATTCATTAACAGGGTGAGACAAACACTAGGTGATGACAAAAATTGCGAAAAGTAGATTTTTTTATTACTCATCATGTGTAATTGATTTGCTAAATTTTTGATATGATGCAGGGAATATCGTGTGACGCAAAAAAATCTTATTGATTTCTAATGTTTGAAGATTTCAATTCTTAGGAAACAAATCACCGGAGAGATATTCCTAGACGTTTCCAAGGCGTTCGACAGAGTTTGGCACGACGGACTACTAGCCGGAATGAGCAATTTTGGCTACTCCAAACAAATGTTAAGACTTTTCTGGCAGACTGACGATGCCATTGCAAAGTAAGACACGAACTCTCTACCATGCGATTTCTGGAAGCAGGGTGACTTTTGGAAGCAGAGGTCCCCCAAGATGCATTTCTTTCCCCACACCTCTTCTCGGTATACATAGCAGATGTGCCCAAGCCAGAGAACAACTTTAACGAGTTGGCACTCTACGCGGGCGACGCAGCTCTTCTGGCGAGATTCACTAGCCACAGGCAAGTCACCAGATACTTACAACAGCAAGCCGACAGATTAGAGTGTAAATTGTGAAGTATTATTTTTACATTCAATAGGTATATCAAATATATCCAAAATAATGAAAACGAAGTGGATATGATGGTAATCCACGAATTCATCATTATGTAAAAAGCTCTGATCAAAATGTTCCAGTTTATAAGAGAACTTCAATAGGTATAGTTAGAATAGTTGTTATATAATTAGTAGATTCGTTCTGCCAAAATGACATAAGTAAAAATGTATTTAAAAAAAATCTGTTTTGAATGAATAAAATATTTTGGAAATCTCAAACATAATTCCAATAATAATCAAGCTTTAACAAAAAACGACCTACTGTGATATGTTTTTAATGATTCACTGCCGCAGATCTATTGATTAAAAATTAAAAACTAGAGATGATTTACTTTTATTTCTAGTTACCCTCAGTATGAAGCACTCCCGTGTAGCCCACACAATCATTATTTATTACTGGTATTATCAAAAATATCTTCTACAAATGTCTTTTGTATGTGGAATTAATAATGTGGAACACTGTGCTTCACAGGTAAACTGTTTATTGCTTAGCAGCTTTTCCAATAGAGATGTGTAGGTAAATGGAGGTTCTTTATTGTCTGCAAGAGAAAAGAGATGAGTAAAAGAAACTACAAAACATTATGCTGGACCCAAAAAGCGCATCCGTCATCCAATACAAACAACCCACAGTACTGTTTCAATTCGCTCTAGGTCTCATCAATAATACTGGATCAGAACACGGTTGTACCTTTCATACCTGTTCTGTCCTAAAGAGATTCACTTTGAGAGAAGTGGAGATGATGACTCCCCTTATCAAAACGCCATTCATGGAATGCAGTGAAAGCTGTAACTTTGCAACAAATCACTGTTCATAATTGATATTTGTGGATTAGATTTTTTGTCGAACTTATGGGTGGCAACTCCTATCTAAAAATTATTTCAAAAACTTGATGCAGCATAATAATCTACCTGTACTAATTGAAGAAAATCCAAAAATTTGCTCTTTCCTCTTGTAGTGTTTATCACTCTGTCAAGAACATAACTTGAATGAATTAAAGGTATTTACGTAGAGAGGGGGTATATTTTTTAGGAAAAGGTAACTTTAGGGGAAAAAAAATTTTGGCGCTCTATTTCTCCATCTTTATACAAACAGTATGGGAAACTCCTGAAGAAAGGAAGAAAAGATATGTAGATCATGCATAGAAGTTACTTTCAGACATGAATTAAAAGAGTAGGCCTTTTCGAAACCACTTTTTTTACAGTTTATATCTGAAAGTAACTTTTATGCAAGATCTACAAAACGGGTACACATCTAAGGTACAAACCGTTGTACTAAATTATTTAATCGTAGATTCAATCATCCAGGTGTAGAGAAGAGTGGGGTGATAAGACAAATAGCGGTAAGATATGCTTAGATAAAAATTATACACGATCATTATGAGGAAAAATCATTTTCTGTAATGTACAGAAAGTGCACAGTTAATTTCTTAAATTATATAAATGAATAAAATAAAAAACTAACAAACAGAGAGGTAATTCATGAACATTTATGATCATAGAAAGATAGACAAAGTAAGAAGGGCTAAATATGAGCCTATCCAACTTGATAAACTGCGAGGTAAATACATATGATTGGCAGATTAGGTTAAATATCTGGGAACGATACTAAATCCCAGACTGACCAAGAACCAACACCTATAAAGAGTAAAGGCGATGGTAC